AGGAAGGGAGGAAAGAGAGGGGAAGAAGAAGGAGGAAGGAGGGGAGGAAGGGGAGGAAGAGAGGGGAAGAAGGAGGAGAAGAGAGGCGGAGGGGAGGAAAGAGGGGGGAAGAAGAAGGGAGGAATTAGAGGAGGAAAGAAGAAGGCAGAGAAGAGAGGTAGAAAAGATAGAAGGAACAAGGTTGTTGCAAAATAAAATGAGGTGGCAAGAAAGTGAACCCAAACTATTCTATATATTTGTAAGAAAATAACGATAAATGATTAATGATAATGATATAATTAATGGTAATTATAAGAGTGTATATTTGTGAATGAACTTGAAAGAGAAAATAAAAATCTTTTTTAAAAAACATTAAAAATAAACAATGCACAACGTTTGCACAATAAATTAAGGTTAAGCTTACCACCACCACCAAGGTTAAGAGCACTCCTGCAAACAACCCCAAACCAGGTTGAAGATCCATCCAGGAAGGGTAAGCAAGTTTGTGAGCGCAGCTGCAGGCATCTTAATTAAGGAGGTTGTGGGAATAAAGCCACTGTGTCTCTGTGTATGTGTGTGTATGATTGTATAGCAGCGGAGGTTGTCCAGCCTCCAGGATGTGATTCTTCTCGGATCCAAAATTTAGGAGCAGACAAGATGTTGGCTGCCTGTATAAAAAAGATGTGGAGACTCTAGTCTAGAAAAAGTGCAAAGAGCAACCAAGAGGATTAGGGGACTGGAAGCGCAAACATATGAAGAACAGTTGCAAGAACTGGGTATGTCTGGTTGAATGAAAAGAAGGACTTAAGGGTGATATTATACCAGTCTTCCAATATCTGAGGGGCTGCCCCAAAGAAGAGGGGAGTAGAAGTAAAGTAAAGTCTTAACACTTAGGCAAGAAAAACCAAAATTACAAATATAGACTGGGTCAAACCAGCAGTGTGCAGTGGCAGCCAAAGAATATAGTGAGGATTTTTACAATATGGTTTTACCTCAATAATTACAGCAGGAATTGAGAAACCGTGATGTGTTATTTGTTGTGAAGTTCTATCAGCCGAATATATGAAGTTGAACAAACTAAAACGCCATTTTGATAGCAAGCATCCAAGCTTTGCCAGCAAGGATACCAACTATTTTAGAAGCAAAGCTGATGGACTCAAGAAAGCCAGACTTGACACTGGTGGCAAGTAACACAAACAAAATGTAGCAGCCATTGAAGCTTCATATTTGGTGGCAAAAAAGAATCGCCTGAGCTATGAAACCTCACACCATTGCTGAGGATTTGCTGTTGCCAGTGGCCAAAGACATTGTTTGAGTTACGAAATTGAGTGCAATTTCCTTATCTAACGACACTGTCTGCAGAAGAATAGATGACATATCTGCTGATATGCTTTCCTCTCTGTGCGCATGCCCAAGATGGTGTCCTGTCACATTTGAAGAGAGCTTCGGGGAGATGATTGTCCTCAGGGGCTTGCAGGGGGTACCCTATCCCATCGTTGGTTCCAGGTCTAGCTATGAGAACTTCCTGGGACCTCGGGGATACCCTTGAGCTGTAATTTACTGCTTCATAGCTGGAACATCGTGAGTGAAACGGGCGGCTGGTGGTGAGTGGAGAATGAAGAGCGTCGGTGGCTGCCAGCGTGGGTGTGGCCAGCGGTGGCAGCGGGACACCCGGCCTGGGGTCTCTGCAGCCGGCGTGGGTGTGGTTGTCGGGACGCCCGGCCTGGGCTCTCTGAAGCCAGCGTGGGTGTGCTCAGTGGCAGTGGCGGTGGGTCGCCTGGCTTGGGATCTCTGCAGCCGGTGTGGGGGTGCTCAGCAGCAGCTTCCCACTACCCCCCTTGAACACTGTCAGCTCCCCCCCGTAGACATGTCATCTCGTTCCATCTTCCCGTGATGTCATCCCGTTTGGTTGATGCCACACTCTCCTCTATGTTATACTGCAACAGAACTTTATTCCCTTCGGGAACTCCCCCTTTCCCCAGGGATGGCCTTCTTGCCTATCAAGACGCTTCCTTAATGACGGATCTTGGGATCCTGAGAGGTGGCATGCGAAGAAGAGACTTCTTAGGGTATTTTTACAGGGGTTTTTAAATCAAATTTTAAGGGTGGGGGTGGGGGGTTGATTCAGAGGGCTCAGACAGGCTTGGGGGGGGGAGTCTGCCAGGGTGCAGGCCAGAGCTAACTAATGGGCAAGGGT